AACATCGGAGTACGTTGAGAGACGGGGCCATGCAGACTGACAGAAAGGCAGGACAGAGAGAGGGGAAAGGTTCCGAAATAGGGACGGGCTCTTACGAATAGTCCACATGGAGGGAACCTATTTTTTCCAACCTCGCGCCCGAACTAGACTACTGACGTGTTGGATAAAACGTGTGCTCGTCGCATGTAACAGGAGTCGCTCATCCACATGGAAGGTTTCAACTTCGGCTGGTCCCTCGGACTCCTAGAGGCTATCGGCGTGTTGGTCGGGTCGATGTTCGAGCGCGTCCATGGGGGCGAGGGGGGGAAGAGGGTAGCGCCCTTCCGCAGCTACGTGGTTCTCGCTGGGCTGCTGGGCATGTCGAGCTCGCTCTCGAACATGGCCCTCAACTACATCAAGTACCCCACGAAGGTGACGACGATTCGTTCTTTCCGACGGCGTTTTTTTTTCTGCATAATTTTCTGTCACTTTCCAAGCAATTTTTATATCTATGCACAGACAAGAGTTCAGGGTGGAATGCGCAATTGGTTGGTTGACGGTGTTGCGTGACCCACGTGTGCCACCTGTGGTTCTACTTTTCTCCACGCAACGTACGGTGATATCTCAACTGAGAGCAATATCCCCTGTGGGCAGAATGCTAGGCTCAACAAGATTTCTTGGTTGGGAACAGCTTCGCTCTCGGGAGTGGCCGCCCCGACCACCTGGGGGTCGTTTGCACCCAAAAGTATCTGCCGCACGTGACATAAGATACCATTCTCCCCCCGGAGCGATCTTCAAAGCTAGGTTATTAAATCCACGACAGAAGACAGTGGCGATGGAGCCGAAAGTAGTTGCGTTGAAAACCGTCTCGTCGAGGGCTTTCCGAGCGCGTACCATGTGATTTGTCCGTCTTCTCCGTCGTGGAGTAGAGAGCGTTCAAAATCGGTCCAGGGGGTTGATGTATTACGTCACTTACGGGTGTCTGTGTTACGGGGATATCGCTTGGGTCGGGTGTTCTCGAATCAGAACGTTCAGCTAGCTGTTCTCAAGGTAAACACCCTTCCTCTTGCACCCGGCCGCCACCTCCTCCTGCTCCTCCTCCTCTAACGCCGACTGCTCACAGGTAATCTTTCGCTCCTGCAAGCTCATCCCGACCATGGCCATCGCCGTGCTGTGGCGCAAGAAGATCGTGTCCAGGTGGGAGTTCCTGGCGGCGTTTTCCGTGTGTGCCGGCCTCGTCATCTTCGGGAAGGCCGACGCGAAGCTCGAACCAGACTTCGACCCTAGGGGGATCGCGATGGTGATGCTTTCGGTGTGCGCGGACGCTTTCCTTCCCAACATGCAGGTGATAAAGGCCAAGAGTTTTATGTCTCTCTTTCTCTCTCCCGGTACAACGAAGCCCGCGATGCCTCCCCCCCCCCCCCNNNTCTTTGTTTTGGAAGAATTATTGCTGGTTTTGGGCGTTGTTTTAGGCTTGGTCTGTATCTGCGCGCTGTTTGTGTGCGCCTTATTGATGCGGAGGAGGCCAGCCGTCTCTCATCGTTCGCTGCCAAAGCGTCATCTTTTGTAACGCCTCTGTTCATGCTTCCGAGACTCCTAAACCGAAGACCACGTGAGTGTAGACGCGTCCGGCGGAGAGTAGCATCCACAGACGTGCTTATGGACCTGCTTCCGACCAATGCGCCCGGACTCATGATGGAAGGTGAAGACTCGTCTCTCACGTCACCGTCTCGTGCCCTCGGCTCTGCGTGTGTCCCTGCCTTGCTCTGCATGTGTTTCCCGCCCTCGACTTGAACTGTTACCACATCGTGTTCAATGTCTCATTGTGGGCGGGGTGTACCAGGAGCACGTCTTTAGCATGGGGGCGTCTCGAGTGGAGGTATGAACGATGTTGGTGCCGCTGCTGCTGTTGTTGGATGGGACTGACTGGTTCTCTGTCTTGTGAATCACCTGGGTACTGTAGTGGCATTCGCGGCAGTGATTGTTGGTGGCATTATCAACCACGGCAGTCGCCATTTCTCGATCGCCTCGTCGGAATACACGTGCATGCTCAGTTGCGTCTCGTTCGTCTACGCGTGCGGGGGGGCTGAAGCTTTAATGCGCGAGACGGACTGTTCGCTACCCCCATCTGCCTTGTACTCATCTGGGATGTCGCTCCTGTCCATGCCAGCTGTTCTCGAAACAAGGCCTGCGTTCTTTGTTTACCCCCCCCGTCCCCCCC